GTGATTAGGCACGCTGTTCGTATCAATATTCCCATATACTGGAATAGCAATAGAAGTCGTACCTGGTCGAGTGGCTTTGGGCTTTTTTTCACGTCACTGCATTAAAGGTGGACCAAGATTGCGTCATCATTGAAGGGAACGTGGAAATGGGTTGCACGCTGTCCCGCTGTTCCTCCCACATTAAAGCCTCCGACGGGAGAGATTACCTTCCGCCATCCACTATAATCACTCTGCTCTACTACCCTGGGATTTGACTTGAATTGCATAGCTTTTTGGACACCAGCCCCACATACCAGAATGGACCTATTCCAAGTGTCCCTGTGGAGCGATTCCCCTTCCCAACAAGGGACACAACAGACCAGGAACAACATGACAAACGCGTTTCATTCAGGGGGAAACTTTGTAGCTTTTTGTTTAGTCCAATTTTTCTAAAATGTTTTTACTCATCTGACACAACGTATGGCACCATAACACCTTGTTTTAAATAGTAACAGGAACAAGTGAATCCGGATTGCTAAAAAACAAACAAGAAAACAAATTAGTTTGCAAATGAGTGTATATTCGCTAATTTCGTGCAATTTGGTTGACGGAAGCTCGGGGACTGCGCCTACCTGATGAGCCCCAAAAAGGGCGAAACCGGTCGTTGGTCTGTCCACGAATTTTCAGTGCATTGGAAATATACATGTATCTCGATATCTCGAATATCGCACCAACTGAAACATGAGGCGGCCTGGTGCAGCACATTCAGTTGCCTGGAAACATCACAAACGAGAGATTCAGCTGGGTTCCAGGTGTGTCTCTCGCAAAACCAAATTAGTTTGCAAATGAGTGTATATCCGCGCCTACCTGATGAGCTCCAAGAGGGACGAAACCGGTCGTGGGCTGTTGACGAATTTTCAGCAAACTTATGAGTAGTATTTAAGATGATAGTTGTATGATGGAATCCCTCGGGTCTCATAGGCTCAACTTAATGCCGGAATGAGTCAAGATATCTATATAACCGAGCCCTTCTCGAATAATTTATCGAGGGAGAAAACGATGTGGTTTTCAGGTTCTGTGGCAGCTGAATAAGTCTTGCTTGAGATAGCTTAGTGGTTAGAGCGCAAGCTTGCTGAACAGAAGATTTGAACCCAACCTTGGCATCTCGACGGCTCTTGTCTAGGCTTGGGCAACTTGGCAGTACCTCCGCTGTAGTGCTTCTATCGGATGGCATGGCAGATAGGCGCCGAACATGTGTTACGGTTGATCGATTTTTTAACACTATCTTAGACAGACTGCTGTGACATGAGCCAAACCAAAAAAATTTAGGGGAGCGAGACGATATGATGCTAACTTGGGATCGAGCTATCAATCGAGTACAACAAATTCTGGAAAGGCCTTCGGTGGGATAGCTGAAGAATGTAAACAATCAGCTATATGTTAACAACCTGGCACTATCTCAGCCCTCGTGCTTCCCTCCGGTGGCATGGCACCGGGAAGGTGTTACAGCCATTTCCAACAATGATGGATACCAACGGTTCAAAATGAACGCGGAAATATTCTCGTTTAAGTTCTCTTCATCATCTGTAAGCTGGATGTGCTCAACAAAACTAGTTTGATGCAAATGTTTCCCCATCCGAGTGACATGAAATTAACCAACTGCTTTAAACTGTTACTGAAATAATAAAAAAACCAAGAGATGAGTATTGACCAACCCCGCATACTCACTATCTCCACCCCGTGGCATCTTATTCAAGCACCCCAATGATGTTAATAACGTCACGTGTCCTCTCAAACTTGTACTAAGTGAAATTCTATCAGAATATCGATCACCATCTTCTGATCACATGCAGTGACTTACCATAATCAGCTAGTCAGTAAGGTGTGCAAACACATGCGTTGTTCAATTCCATATTTACTATATTGATGAATGCGATTCAAGGAGGCTGGTAGTAGATGAGTTTTCCAAGGTTGGCTATATGTTACCTGGCACTATCTCAGCCCTCGTGCTTCCCTCCGGTGGCATGGCACCGGGAAGGTGTTACAGCCATTTCCAACAATGATGGATACCAACGGTTCAAAATGAACGCGGAAATATTCTCGTTTAAGTTCTCTTCATCATCTGTAAGCTGGATGTGCTCAACAAAACTAGTTTGATGCAAATGTTTCCCCATCCGAGTGACATGAAATTAACCAACTGCTTTAAACTGTTACTGAAATAATAAAAAAACCAAGAGATGAGTATTGACCAACCCCGCATACTCACTATCTCCACCCCGTGGCATCTTATTCAAGCACCCCAATGATGTTAATAACGTCACGTGTCCTCTCAAACTTGTACTAAGTGAAATTCTATCAGAATATCGATCACCATCTTCTGATCACATGCAGTGACTTACCATAATCAGCTAGTCAGTAAGGTGTGCAAACACATGCGTTGTTCAATTCCATATTTACTATATTGATGAATGCGATTCAAGGAGGCTGGTAGTAGATGAGTTTTCCAAGGTTGCACACTTTTTCTATAATTGTTACTTTTTTGGCGGAAGACTCATCCCCTGATCAGTGCGACCTTTTCTGGCCATCGAACATGTCTATCTCATTGTAAGACTTGATCGTGTGAGGTTGACAAAACGTGAAAGGCTTGAATATTATGTCTTGAGATGTGAGCCCGGCTGTTTCGACGGGACCTCTTGGATACAAGTTGCTGGTAGTGTACAAAAAGGCGACTGATCACAGCAAATCTGGAAACCAAATGAAGTGGCAAAAAGTTGTTGGGAACATTTTGGTGAATGAGGCACCCAGGTGAATTTGGTTGGTCATTTGATGCGAATTATGGTTCATAAGTGAGTAGGAAAGCACACGATGGTTGTCAAACCAGCCTCATTCGATATTTCTCTCATTGTCCTGCTGTCATCGTCTCCGTACATCAAACTCGTAGTCTGGTTGACAAATGAACCTATTTGAATTTGGAAGTGAGAGCGTTGTCTTGACTCCACCGACGCACAGTGAACTTGTAAGAAAATTCTAACACTTGAATGATTTATTTGTTTACTCTACGCCGTGAACTTCGGTCAAATTGCCAATTTGGTTGTGCCCGGTGATGGCCAGTCTGTCAGTACTCCTCGATGACGCTTTAATTTTTGACTACTTGTGAGTAGTTGTGATATTTATTAAATTTTCATCCAACGGGTCTAATGCGTCAGTGGGCTGGGCAACCCGCTTAAAAACTAACGCCAACCGTTCGGGAGTCCTTTGTCCTTTGCTATCGTGTGACTGGCGGTTTATAACTTCTTATTCCACCAAGCTGTATTCTGACTTTAAAGTTTCCACGGAAAAGGGCGTGTTACGTAAATCGACAGAAAGGCTGAACAGGTAGCATAGCATTTGTGGGACTGTCAGATGTTGGTATGCAACAACAGCTTTCAACCCTAACTTGCTGGTGAAAAGTTGCATACCAGAAAGGGTTTAGGCTAAATCACGAAAACAACTACTGTCAGTCTAATAGCACGCAAAGGTAGGACGTTCTGATGAAAAATTCTTCATATAAGTCATCACTAACTGTCACTGTCAATCGCTGAAACGCGCCACTGTCTGTACTTGTTAGTGAACACTGTTCAGGATTCACTCAAGAAAAATCCATCCAAGCGTGGTAATGCATGCACCAAGCTATACTTCGTTCAAATGTTCGCATTGCTTTATCGATCTGGTCAGTCGAAAACCAATAGCTGGTAGAATGGATCTTTGTATACTAAAATACATCCATGTAACCAGAGGTTTTCCTCAGTTTAACCACATTGGTGAACTAATTTTCAGTGCTTGATGACTTATCCACCATCTGAATTCTTCGTTGGCTCTGATTCATGCAACATTCGTTGGCTTGGTCATCATGTTGACTTGCCACACGTGTCTTTTCAAGTGAGATTTCGTCCTGTAAATGAAGCCAAATTATGGTGAAAATCGAAGGAGCACCGTATCATCCTTATGGAGAGTCACCACCAGTGAGCACCTCACTAAACTTAGGAGTTTTGAAGGCTGCTACCAGTTAAAATACTTGGCCGGTTGACTGATAATCAGTGTGGTCAACTTGAGCCAATCATCCTTCACCCATGGAGTCTACATCACGTGGTCACAATCGTTGACTGGCTCCTCGACTGACGACTTCTCAGATGGAAGTTTCATTTGTCTTGTGAATTATTCTACTCTCTATTCTGTCAGTAGTTTGAGAATATTTGGAATTTTTGACGGATCTGCAATGCGAACCTCCTTGGAAATTCTCAAATCTCCCCAAGTGACCAAGGAAAAGAAAGTGCTCATGTTTCTCGCCGACAGAACCACCATGATAATCTGTCACTTCACGATGGTCCTTCAAGGCGTATTTCAATAGTGAACACCACCTTTTCTTACAAGAGATCAATTTCTGCAAGTCTTCTCTGGTGCTCTTTCAAGGATCAACAGTTGACTTGGTACCATTAGCCTAGGACAGAGGATAGCAGTTTAGCTCATAGAACACCCGTCCAACTAACAAGACTCCACTCCCTTCGTGTCTTTTATACATTTTCTGAATCGCATCCCTATAGGGATTTGGTCAATTTGTGTCAGACTAAATTAGACGCCATCTACTTATAAGTGGTAAGTAGTCGCCAACTGTCACACAAAGTAAGACAAAACATTTACAGACACAATCCTTAACATGCTTTTCGGATCCCAACAGTTTCTTCTGACTCACTGTTTACACCTGGTGTGATCTCGTCAGAACTCGTTAACCATGACCTACCTCCCTAGGTACAGACACGACACTGCTGAGGTACGCTGTTACCACATTTGCAAAAAGTCTCAAATTAGTCGTTAATGTGCAGAGCTATCACCAGACTTACCTACTAATGAAGTACTTCAAGTTCTTTCTCAGTGCTCATTCTTTGATCGCAATCCTCATATGTATGAGCCATGCTTGATCCAGGATCGATAGAATACCCCATGCTTACCTCTCCTCGCTTTCTGCTTTCTATTCTCTCCCACAGTCGAAAAAGAAGCATTTTTCGCTTCGAAAAATCTTCAAAAAAGGTGAGTTATTGTTTTCATATTGTGAAAAATGGCATGTTCTCATGTATTACACCTTACTGCAGTTCAACACTTTCTGCTTCGTAGTGGTTGAAAATAATGGGAGTAAAAATATAGTTCCTATGGCAACCGTGTAGAGAATTTTGAACAAGAAGCAGAGTTTTAACCCAAGAACTTTGTCCCTTGACCCCAGTCGATTTGACGCCGCACTGCCGACTTCCTGGGCGCTAACTCCCTATCTATCTAGTAGAAACTCAACACCACTTTCTCATGAGTAAAACCCCGATGGCTTACAACTAATTCATCGTATACATTCATACCACTCCGGTTTGAACGGCCACTTACCAGTCCTGACGCAGAAATTCTGGCGAATCTGTACCAAAGCGAGGCACCTCTATCTTCGAGTTTCGCTTCTGTCAGAGCTCATCAGCAATTTGGTTTTGTTTGGGTGTAGAATCCCGCAATCACCCACTACCAATGGAAAATCGATCAGTAGTTTTCAAGAGTCCGTTGCGCCAACTGACCAGGATGTCCTGACACAACAAGGAAAGTTGCCGGATCATCGAGCAAACCAACCACGTCGCTCAGGCGTGAGTATAATAATCCGGGGTTCAAACTCCGGTATTCAAATCGTTGCAGGTGAAAGCCTTGTCAATCTGGAATACGCAGAGGACATTGCCATCATCTTTGAGGACCCAAGCAAAACACAAACCCTGTTGAATAGACTGACCACCGTTATACTACCTTTTTGCAGTCTCCGAACATATCCCTTACAATTCAAGGAAAATCACTGGAGATTGTGGAAAATGTTTACATACCTCGGTGGTTGTATTAGCTCTGACGGAAGTGTGTCTGATGAGGTCAGTGCAAGAATCTCAAAGGCTCGAATCACGTTTGCTAATTTGCGTCACTTGTGGCGTTAAAAAGGAATCTAATTAGATCTTAAGGGTCGTGTGTACCAGGCTACAATAAGGGCTGTCATTGTATGGGTGCGGACAGATGATGTGAGGCATCTTCAGGTTTTCGACCACCGATGCCTCAAAAGCCTGGCTGGTTTCGGATGGCGTCAGCGTATCAGCAACGAGGCGATTAGAAAACGGGTATTTGGTTGTGCTGCAGGCACCTCAATCCGGGAAAACATCCAGCATCATCGACTACGATGGCTCGGTCATGTGCTACGCATGCCGAAATACCGTCTACCGAGACGAGTGTTGTTCTCCGTGCCTCCTTCGGGATGGCGCGAAACGCGAGGTGGACAGCACATGACTTGGTAGAAAGGCGTGAACGAAGAGTTTGGTGTTGTTGGTGTTGTACGCCTTCCAAGACGGGATCCCGCTGACCTCGTCTGTGCTTGGCTGGGGACGATGCAAAACTGGCGGCTAATCGATGTCAGTAGCGTCCGTGGTGTCACTTTCTTTCCAGATTGTTTGATTGAGCGGCTGGAGGTGTAGGCACCCCAGAATGCTTAACATAGGCCAGCACTAGGTCCCCTCCCTCACCTACTCCTATTCTCTGCTTTTCGCTCTTGGACTTTTAATATATATATATATATATATATATAATGATGATGATGATGATGATGATGATGATGATGATGATGATGATGATGATGATGATGATGATGATGATGATGATTTTATAAGATCTTTGGGCGGATGTATCATCTGTCATTTCCGATCCAAGTGACCTTCAAGGTTAGCTGCAATCTGACGCCAGTGGGAAACGTGAACTACTACTTTCATGGGATACGGGAGACAGTGGCTTGAATTGGCTGCATGTGTGTTCCAGATGAAGACCTCCATCTCGATCGATCAGTACGCTCACCTCTGTAGGGGCTGGTCATGCAGGAACCGGGCGATAGAAAACTCAGCCAGACATTATGGATAGAAAATGACATCACTGATGCCGGTTAACCGTCTTATCTCCATCCAAGCACAAGGAGAGTCAGCAGTGTCTAAACGTTTTGAAACGTTCTGAATTCCATTTTGCCAACTCAACTTTTGTCCACTCCGAATCAGAGCTTGTCTCGGTGGGTGGTAACTCGACATGGAAACCTTAGTCAGTGTTCGCCTCATTATCTCATCACTGACAAACTGGGACAAAGATGGACAGTGTGAACATCCTTATCGAGCGCCACTATAGCTTTTCATACACCCTTCATACATTCTCCCCCTAAAGCATTCTAGGAGTTTTAGCGTTAACGAGAAACGCCACTGTTTCATGAAGATGGCTAATGTCAGTCGAGGTGTTCTGGAAGAACCGAAAACGCCTAAGTTGTTACAGTCCTACTAGAACTGCAACCAGAAGGGATGCGAGGCTACTACCTTAGGGGACGCTTGTGGAGGCTTCCCTCTCTCTCTGCAAAACCAGCTTGTTGTCCGCCGTCGAGTCCTAGCTGCGCGTTCAACCTATCGGAGGGAATCTATCTTTCGATTTGCGAGCCCAACCTCCTCAGGTTTGACTCTGTCCATGTTACTTGAACCTACCAGTTGTTCCAGCTCATATGGTCTAACTGTCAGGTTCTTGCGGAGAGGCAACACGATTGACACCGACCTCGTGGTCTGCTCTTTCACCTAAGGAGACAGTGGCATACTCCAAACGCAGGTAGATGCGTGTGCCCATCTGTGGGAAAACTTAGTGTAGCGGTTGGATGATCTAAAAGCCGAACGATCGGTTCGGTTTTGTAGAGGTGCGGCTATAGATATGTGAGTCTTTCCCAGCATTCCAACAATCAGTCCAGTAGTATCAAACAAACCTAGAAATGTCACAGTAGCCTAGGTCACTTGAGGAGTATTCAAATTACTTTTGCGTGTTTGAAGGACGGAAACTTGGAAGTACATATTGCATGATCCAGAAGGAATTCGATGGTCTGTCCGTGGAGGGATTTGATAAATTATGCCAGTCGTACAAATGTGTCATCAACCCATATGATTATACAAGCCTTGAAAAGCTCACGCATATTTTTTGGTCAGATGCTCGGTAAAACTCTTCACTGAATGGTTGCTGGAATCAAGTCAGACCGGACAAGGTGTGGCCTCAGAGATTACAGTACTCCAAGCACATCAAAGTAGTTGGTCCCTCACATGCTTTAGTCATTCATTTATAGGCATGTTGCTATGATCTTTCTCAACCTACTAGCAAGCAGAGCTGGATGCGTAGAGCGACCGTCACTTGACAGCCGCATGGTGTCCCTAGGCGGAATACTGACTCGTATAGTAACTAGTTCACTAGGTCAAAGCAAGACTACAACGAAGAGGTCATACAAGCTTCACGGCCAGGAATCATTTTGAATCTGCGAATAGATGCTCAGTTCCATTCGGGGTAGGCCAACGACTAATGACCTGTGTGCTTCCAGGTGAAAGACAATGTGATAACACGTAGACGTGAGTAGGTTATTGCATCAGTATACTAACACGGTGAATGCTGCATTCCAAAACTCATTCGGCTCTGTGACCCACCTGGATCCAAACCAAACGAAATGTGTATTTTACACGGGTACCTCCACCCCTGAGAATGAATTTTCATTGTCATAGTTCAGTCGTTTATTTGAAAAGCACTTTTGCATTTCCTGAAGCCGAATACAACCATATAAAAGTATGAGACGAGTTCACAATGACCCCAGTTTTGTTGAGGTATTAGGCCTCGGGTTCGTTTAGCTAAAGTTTGCGGTTTTCGACGTTTTTTTATCATGCAGTGCCCAGTATCCGTGGGAATGCTTCCCGAATTCCCCATATTTTAGCTCAACGTCGTCCGCATGATACCTCAGCTCGAGAAAGCACAGTGGTCTTGAAGATCCGCGGTTCGAACCCGACCCCCAGGCATTTCGACCGCATCTGTGTATAATTTGATAAGATATGAGACCTCAAGCTTCTTTCGGAAAGAATGTTACAGATGAACAAAGGTGACGACATTAGCCCAAATATCTCTTTTATGCATCCTCGCCAATTCCGTGCTCATTGGTATTCTCTCCCTTTAGATCGAAGTCCATCTGATGCCGAACAAGACGAGATGAGGAGACAAGAAAGAGAGGCCTTAGAAGAAAGACAGCGTCGAACCGAACTTGAATTTGCACACAGGTTGATGACCAAACCGGAAGAGATGGCCAGCGATTTGTGTCGGGTGGAATCTGAACCTGACCTCGTTCAAACAATTTGTGCTCCAAATGTCTTCAACAAGGACGCAATTAAATTGGACAAGAAACTCTATCAGATCGATGTGGCAAATGCGCGTATATCCACCCTCAGTCGTCTTTCAGGCACTGCCATACTTGTGAAGGACTATCAAGCTCTTGAATTTCTTGAAAAAATAACGCAACGCATTCGAAAACAAAATGTGACTTTGTTCAAGGAGGCAGACAAGTACTTGACACAGTTCAAACGTGACCCAAACTTGTTATTGAATGACCCGAAGGAGAAAAACAAAGCATTTGGCTTGGAAAGTCCACAATCTCCCTTGTCTGATAAGATCATGTTCGTCATATCGGACGATGATGATCAAGACAGTGAGAACCTTCGATGGGAGCTGAACAGTTTATCCTTCAGCACAGATAACAGTTCCACAGAAAGTGATGACGAAGGTCCGACTCCGGAGCAAGTGGAACATTTGGCCCATGAAATTCGCAAAGCTGAGGGGACGCGTTTCAAAAAGAAATTGAAGCACTCGTTTCGCTCGAAGCATTCACACGAGGACAACAAGACAGCCCAAATGCCACCACCCCCGAACCCATTGGGTCATTCCAAGCGTGCTCTGCTTCGTTCGCATTCCACCGTTCCAAACGGGCTTTGTGAACAGGGCAGCATGATGTCTTCGTCCTCTTCCTCAATACTGGGTGATTTGGATGCAGAAGACAGAGAGTCGGTCGATTCCAGGCGTCGAGTCCACAAGTCTTCCCACGCCTCCAACCTTCCATTCAACCTATTGAGTCTCACAGGTCAGCTATCTTGGTTGGTCTCTGAGTATATTGAACGAGACACATCCACCTATAAGTGGGCAACTGAACTGATCCACAAAATCAGTACAATGTCTGTGAACCGCGCTACCTGGCTAAACGTACATCAGCAGTTAAGAGAGACCACAGAACTTCTCTACAAGCATCGGGATAAACATAATGCATCGATCAAATCCAAGACGGCCAAGGGTGAAATCGCCTGGAATCGTTTACAGCTTACCTATGAGACAGTCGCCTCTAATGACGGTGATAACGCAACAGTTACAGCAGAAACAGCAAGGAAGCTATTCGCCAACGGTATGGCTACTTGTTGCCAAAATTCTTCACATCAACACCTTGTACATTTGGCCAGGTTTCTCGAGAAGAAATTTCATCTGGCATATGTTTGTGATTTGATATTGTGGAAAGCCCAAAAGCTATTATATGCCACAAGATCGGTTGCCTCGGCAGACACAGCCAAATACCAACTGACCGACTTTCGTATTCGTCATATGCAGCTACGATTGGACCAGGCGAACATTCAGAATTGGTCCAATGAACTTACCGATTGGATGACATGTTGGATAGACGAAGTAATCAACTCACAGTCGCATGTGAAGAATCAGTACGAGGACAACTTTTGTCTGGATGAATTGCGTACAATGCAATCCTCAGTCAAACGATTTCACACACTTGTCCAACACTTACGAGATTCCGAATTCATGTCGGACATATTCCTTGATCTGAGTTCTCCTGACCCTGACTCGGCACGAACGAAAACGGACCCACTGGAAGCCCATCAACATCACCCTCATTATCACCCACATTTACATCATCATGGGGAGGGCGGACATCAACAAGATCTACGCCCGATGGAAGCAGACAGATGTTCCCACACCTATGCAGCCTTGGTACGACAAATTCATGAACACGCCATGTCAAACCGACCACTGAGCTATTTTGCCGAGCGAGCGCTGTACGATATGGCTGTCGAGTTGGACTGCCCCATTGATTGGAAGGAACGTTTGACGACACTGTTGGATGAGCTTACTGAAGCTTATAAAGGCTGGAAATTGCTGTTACAGTCCAAACTGAATTCTGATTATTATAACTACTTTTTCGAACCTCACCGTACGGAAAAATAGATGTTTCATTTTTGTGATAAACTTCACCATCATCCCCGTCGCCAAGTTATAACCTTCGTTAGTTGATTTCCAATATCGCGAATGGCTGTACTGTCACACTTGTAAGTAAACCGGTCATCCAGTCAACCACGTGACCTGATTCAAAAAATCCCGACTTTTGCGTGTCCCCACTAATTACTTTGTAGCCGGACATATAAAAAAACTGTTCATCGGCACTCAACCTTGTTATTACTTGTTAGCTATGCCCCATGTTTCGTTTCAGTCACACTGAGACGCTACATTATTGGTGTAAACAGTGCGCCGTTATGAATTTCTACATGCGGTTCTTTGCAACAATAAGGCCACCAGCATTGAATAAAACCTGTATTACTTGTTTCCGCCTTGAAAAAAATGGTTTTTTGTTGCGATGATGACAAAATCTAGTCAAGTCATTGAACAATTTTCAATCAAAGCCATTCTACAAGCCTCTGTGAGAAACAAATCGCCCGATGAGTGAAACTTTCGTTCGAGAAGTCGTTGTTCGAGCAGCTAATCAATACGTGTGACCACGTGATTTGGATCCCGTGATTGAAAGATGAGTGGTGCTACATCCTGTCCAAGTGTGGGCTAATCACACTGCTATTTAGCCGCCCGTGGCGGAACGGTTAGGTTCTTAAGCAATTCGCCGGGGGGAGGGGATTTTCGTGAGATGAGTACTGGTGATGATTACCAATAAGGATGAGACATATTCATAGTGCTTCTTCAGCATAATTTGATTTCACTGACAGACCAAAATCTTCATTAAGGTTAGCGAATATACACTCATTTGAAAACTAACTTGGTTTTTCGAGAGACTCGCCTGGAACCCAGCTGAGTCTCTCGTTTGCGATGTTCTCTCCATTAAGTTTAGCGATATACACTCATTTGAAAACTAACTTGGTTTTTCGAGAGACTCGCCTGGAACCCAGCTGAATCTCTCGTTTGCGATGTTCTCTTCATTAAGGTTCCCAAATCTCCCCACACTACCAATAACTTCGGGTGTGCAAGGTCTTGTGAGATTGCTTCCTTTAGGTGGTCAATGTCCTAACTATATTCTTTTCGGAACGTGCATAGGGTAAAGTTTGGCGCTGTATAATTACCACAACATTTCTTTGAACCTGCACCAATTTGAGCTATTCGGTTACCTTCTTCTAAAAGACAAGTACAAATTGAACAGTTCGGTCGGTGGAGTCAAAAGTTTTCGCTACAGCTCTTCAGTACGACGGAAGTCAAAGCAACAAGACTCGTTCGTTGTGTTAGTTGATACTCACAAGATCGGTAAAAAAACGGGCTGAGCTAGCAGCTGAAAACGATTCTCAGCTGAAATGACAAATAGATCGGTCACTATGATGTCGACTCCAAAGCATTCCAAATCACCCAGGTACTTGTACATTTTTTCTCAGGGGTGATTGGGATGGTTGATTTCAGTCGAAACCAATCAACTCAAGGGAACGCAAATCACAAAGCGATCACAAAACGATCACAAACGGACAAATAAAACCACGAAGACGCTGTCTCCCAATTAGCCAATCACTTCGCGAGAAAATAGATAATCTTCAAATGTTATATAAATACACACAGTCAAAGAGGAAGTATCCAGTGAAATACACGCTGATAATGTTGTATGGTGACGAAGCATTTGCAAGTCGATTGCCAAGCTCGGTAAACAAATGAACAACAACTAGATGGTTTATTTACTGTTTTTTAAGGCAGTTAACTAGAATTGTGCATTAGTGGTTTAGTTTCCTCACTGAGAATGACCCCAGTTTCTTGTTTTATCACCTGATTTGGACGCTTCATTTTTTTACAATGATCAGCCTTTTATGATAGTTCCATTTCTTGCTGGGGTTATTTTGGAAACTTGCAGTTTATGACCAGGCAGAGTATGTCGAAGAAAAATTTATGGTGGTATGTGAGATGTTTGCAAGACCATAGAGCACAAAGTGCTCAAGTTCCAACAAGTTCCAACAGCTTCGTTTTGTCGCAGCCTCATTTTGGCGTAGCCTCATTAGACGCCTGACCAGTGGGGTGGTGCTATGCCCCTCCGACTGCTTACTAGAGGAACTGGAATTCTTACAGAACATTCCTGAATGGTTCGTACTCAAGACTACGCAGTATGTGGAATCCATACTTAAAAAATGTTACTCTTCTGCATGAGATCCCCCTGTTACTATGACGTACATGGCCCATAATCTGTGCTTGAGTTTCAATTCCAGCTGCAGTATCAACAGGATGGTAGATGTTGTGGATCACAATCTCCTTGATACCTTTTTATTACCGTGAACCCCGGTCTGGATAGCCGATCGATAGCCTGGTGCGCTTGGCCAAAACAGAAAAGTCAATGAACGTGCGAACCGGCCGATCTATTGATCACTGTCACGTACAAACGGGTCAAGAATGTGATACGAAGAATACAACTTATCTGTCAAGGACGAGTGAAGAGCAACCAATGGAATCTGTCTCAACGAAAACGGCTATTCCATTGGCTGTTAAATAGCCATCCCATTACGTTCGGAGCTGGTACTCCTAATAAGTACAAAACCCAATCGTGCAAACTCCGAACCTGAGCTGACCTGCGAAAATTCCGGGCTTTCACAAACTTGTTTGACATTGACGTCACGTACTTGATTCTGTGACACTTTAACCCGTGTGCCACTCTGTCGACTCCATCCATTTTCGCTTTCCTTCACTAAAGTAAATGCACCTCTGACTTTCACCTAACCTTTTCCACCTGATTTCTGGTACCATATAGATTTGTGACATTTTAGCCAAGAGGAGCAGTTACAGAAAGCGAGCTTTTTTCTCTACCTTCGCTCTTCTTATGATGTTCATTAGCACTGTTATGTCTGACTGCTGTTCCCGCTCCAGTGCCCAGTGCCGGAAAAAACTCGCCGATAGGGGAACACAACAGCTTCATTGCGAACAAGGAGGTGCGCGAATGCGAAAATACGAGGGCCTCAAGTCATTTTATTGGAGGGACACCGTTTGACCTTGATCCAAAGCTGTCTCGCGCGGCCTGGATTTGAGACAAGATGTCACACGCTGCGTATTGAAGGGGCGTTGTCTGACCTTGATCGAACGCTGACTCACGCTGTCTGGCTTTGATACTGTCACGCGCTGCATTTTGAGGGGGCGTTGTCTGTCTGGTCAGCATCTAATGGAGCTGAGGTTCTCAGTAGATCTCTTGCATTCAGTGATTACGTTCAGGAATCTGACCTTCCTGATAAGTATCTTCAATCATTGATGTATTTACTTTCAAATAAATTCACTTACTTCGGTAACAAACAGCAGTTCACATCCGTGAAAGTTAGCTTTGCCCTCCACCTTCTTCGCACAGAAAGAATCAGTTAGGCAGATCCTAGTTCCCGAGTAAGAAACAAGGAATTCATCTAACATTACAAATTTATTCTCCGGCTACTATCATGAACAACTGCTCTACCGTTAAGTAACGGTGCGGTCAGTTCCGGATGAGGTATATGACCGATTGTCCGACCATAAATTATTGATTGTTTCGGACAAACTGGGATTTTGGTGTCCTGAAACATAATTAATAATTTACATCAGGTTGGAGCATTTCGGTCCATTAGTTAATCAGCCAGACCTAATGTCTGATGAAACATTCTCCCATATGCAAAAAAGCAGCTCAAACGGCTGTGCGTCACATGCAGTATTGCATGAACATAATGCGAAGACTATCTGGGCTATGGTTTCCAAGGCGCTTTCTAGTAAAATTCTAAACAGGTTGATCCATAATCGTGAGAGTTCGATTTGCGAGAATCCAGTTGGGTTTGGCCCTGACCGATATTGCATCAATCAGTTTTCGATTTTCGACAAGTGCTGGAACTGTACCACTGCGGTGACCAACCATTCGCTATCTCAGATCAGCTTTTGACTTTGCTGGTTGTCAGAAACTGTGATGGTCGAGCGTTTCTTCAAAATTCTTATCTCGGATCTTTTCCAGATAAGCCCCATCACTAATGCAAAAAGTGCATGTGCGAAAAGTTAAGCCCTGTCACTTTTTGCCAGCTTCAATTTAATGTACACACACAACCTTGACCTTATCCGTATCTGGGCTCATTTTGGGCATAAATTTTCTCTGTTCGGACGTGAAACCCTAAATGAACTTTCTGACGTTTTCAACTCTCGTTCATGACAAGGAGACAGCAATACGTTTTTTGAAAAAGCCACCGAGTGATCCATCAGCAACGGTTATGCAACAATGGCCACCAAACGACACTTTCAACTGTTTCTGACAGGTGGAGTTGTGATGCCCGAGAGTGTCGGCAAGAAATCCGTCTTCGAAAGGGAACTTGGCTGGAGCGGTCTAAAATGAAGTTTAGGACAGTAATTCTATTCATTTATTGCTGGTCCAAAAATTCGGCAAAATTCAGATTCTGCTCGGAGGAAGTATCTGTTAGCCGCACAACCACTGTTGACTGGAAGAACTTTCTTTGCGATCACTCATCCTCTCTGATATGTGGGCAGCATACCAAGGAATTGAAACAATGATTGACATGAATCATACTCATGAAACGGTTCATCATACCAAAAACTTTGTGGATCCAGTGACTGGAGCTCACACACAAACCAATGAATTTGTTTGGGACGCCTAAAAGATGCAGAATAAACGCCAATGTGGCACACATCGATCTTTAGTGGACGGCTATTTGTGTGAGTTCGTTTGGAGGCAAACGTATCGAAAACGGACCTTTTCATGCAAATTATTGAGGACATGCTCCGATTTCATCCTCTTTAATAAAAACTAAAAGTACAAATTTCATATCCTCTTTTTTCTAATATTTTTTTGGGTAGCGCGGGTTAATTTTTGGGCGGGGCTTGCCTGGAAAAGATCCCTTATCTCTTCTGAATGCCTTATCGTCCCCTCCAACGAAGTTTTCCCTGAGTTCTTCACATCCAGTGACTTTAGACAAGGATATCCCCTTTAGTCTTTTCTATTCTAGTTCAGTGTGCTGCTTGAGTCTTCTTCAACTGTCCCTAAAAATTTGGAGATTTAAACATTCCTGCAACGTTCACACATGGACACTGAGTACATCGATAAAATTACTCTTCTTGGATGAGACCTTTCTGCACTGCAAACTACTATAAATAGCCTAGATAATTCCGGTGTATAGTTTGGTATGCAATTTGCACCTGTTAGGTATGAGTGTTACCGGAAGGTTGGGTGGGATAGAACCCATTCCATCAGCTAGTAGGTATCCAGGCCATGAGCCAGCCTGCAGATTCATCCTGACCTTCGTCTACAAAATGTTACCTCAAGTACATTCGGGCTAGATAATTAGAGGACCATGGCAAAACTGGAATTGCTCTCAGCCTTCCGTTCTAATTGAGCCCAAGTGGACAA